TATATGTCTTTCCACTGCTAATGATTAATCACTATCTCTAACTTGAAATACAAGTTAATTAGATTTGAGTAGGCATTTAGTGTTAAGTAAGGACTTTTTACACAAATTTTCAGCTACATATTTTCTAATTTAAGGGTTATTTTAAAAATTCAAGTGTTATATTAATTGCGAAATTTTAAAATGAGGAGTTGAAAGTTACTACAACATTTAAACAAATTTATGCCTCCTTTTGGCAGATGGGGTCAAATTTCAAAAGTGCAGTGCTAGAAAAAGAAATATCAAATGTCCTTAAAAAATGGCATGCTGTCGTCAGGCAGAAAAGGAAAAACCAAGAATCTTCGCACGGTCAGGACTGTTCTTCAAGAGGTAGCAGCAGTAATAAAGCCACAGCACCATGTTCCTTAGAATTCTCTTCTCATCAACATAGGACTCCAACTTTCTCAGAAAACTCTGCTTTTACCGGAATTAATGAGATTTTAGAAGAAAATCAACCAACTCACCAGGGCATTGTTCCATCTTCTGAGATGGAAATAGAAATGCCCAACCTCACATTCTCTATGGTAGACAACGGTATAGCCAAAGGTTAGTATCCACGCAAAGATTAAGAGTGCATTTGGGATTATTGTGAAGTGCTGTGACTGTGGTTGTAACTGTGGTTGTGCTGCACTGTACTGTAATTATAGTTGAAAGTTATTTTAGTGTTAGGATATTTATTTCTTAAAAGTACTATAAATTATATATGGTAAATCTTATTAATTATTAATTAAAATTTTAAAAATATTTTATAATATATAATTACTAAAATAGATACTATTTACTACTTAATAATTTAACTAGAAGTCAAATAGTTCTAATATTCTTATCAATTTAAAATATTTTATTTGAGCAAACTTTAAAATAATTTTTTCCCAATAGGATCTTAGACTAATTTTTCCTCTACAAAACATTATTCATCCCTTTCCCTTTTTTTTTTTTCAAAACCATTAGCCCAAGATAATTAGGAAAAAATGTCATAACTTTTTTTAACAACAACACAAAGTTTTATTGAATTGATCGAAACTTCATCTTATTGATTAAATTAAAGCAATATATATGTATATATATATATATATCAACCAACACCAGCACATAAAATAATTCATCGTGTTGCAACTTAAAATATATAGCCATATAATTAAAAAACTTGACACCTAAGAAAGTAAAAACAGAATATCATCTTATGACCTCATTAAACTCATAGCTATACTATTTCTCACCACTTCCATTTTATTGACTCTTCCATCCTGTTCCCCTCCAGTTACGTTCATATCACTATTGAAATCTAAATTTTCTAAATATGAATCATTGTCGAAACAATGAAAATGTCGATCATGTATTCTCTACCTTCTAATAAAATTGTGTAACGTCGTCATTGCAATCACTATATCCCTCTGTGTTTCAAACCCATAGCTTGGCATTGAATTCAAGATCTTCCATTTTTTCTTCCAAACACCAAAAGTTCATTCTATCACACTTCTAAGTGAGGAGTGAGCATAATTAAAAACTTCTTGAAAACTAAATGGCCCATATACTCGAAACCGTGGAAGATGGTATCTTTGACCTCTATATGGTCCTAAATATCCTTTCTTTTGTGCATATCCAAAATCAACAACATAATATTTTCCTACAAAAAAAAAAGTATTTGGTCAATTTATTTGTTGTCTATAAATAAATACTAACAAGTTAACTAATTCAAAATGTAATCACTTGAGAAAATTGGAGAAAATGAATAGGTCAATCTCATACCTTTGGGAGGATGAGGGAAGTTACAATTAGGATCATTAACTACCTTACAAAAAAATAGATGCATCATGGCATATGCTTGGAAATCCAGCATATAAATAAGTAAACTACATGTCAAAGCTACTAACAACCATTATATTTTGAGTTGGAACCCCTTTTCTACCAATAAACTAAACTTGTTTCTCATTTGGTACCACCGCTAATATGTGAACTCCATCAATAGCACCAATGCAATCCTAAAATGAGGATGAAAATTTTAAGCATTTTACATAAACAACATGACTTCGAATATATATGTATGAAAGTAACATATATCTAATACCACCTTAAAATGAGGCCAATATCTTTGATCACGATGGATTTCATCAGGAATATCTTGAAATTGTCTATCACCTGGTGTTACTATATTAGTAGCCATCAAAAGAACCTTTTCGAGTACTAAATGGAAATGTCGACTCACGGTCTCCCTTGAATGTTGAAAATGCTCTTGTACATCTCTATTACTAGCACGTCATCCCAGTGTATACAAAAACATTCCTAACATCTCAGTCCAACACCTTCTTTTTTCCTAGCATTGTTTTGTAAGGAAGTTTCACCAACCTTTCTCTTTTTGTTTTTATTATCATTGTTGTGTTGAAGATGACTAGAAGGTTTGCGCTTGATAATATCAACATTTTTTGAATCATTCTCACTTGAATTCCCACTCACATCATTTAAAGTCTCGATTGCATTCAAGTCACTTTTTGGTGGAAGAGTTCCTGCAGAAGGTGTATAAGCAAAATCAAGTTTAGGAATAGCTCCACTAAACATCTCTTGGTACCTTTCTTCCATCTGAGGTTCTATTCCACAAAGTCTAAATTTCTTGATTTTAGAGTTTTCCTACACAATAGTGACAATTTATTAGTGAGTAAAGAGCTATTAAGTTAAAATAGTTAATTATAATACATTATGTTTGAACTAACATTTTCTCTCGCTTCCCACCATTCTTTAGGGACAGCAATAGTTTTCCTCACAAGATCATACCCAAGACTAGTAGCCTTCATCTTAAGAAATTTCCAATTTTTATAATCATCCTTCAAATTATCCCACTTGTTTTTAAGCTGTTTGTATCTATATCCAACTCTTGTTTCCTTGAAAAGGTCATCTTCCAAAGCTATCTAGCCTTGTTTTGTGAAGTGAGTTCCTGGACGATTTCCTAAGCTTTTATGCTTCATACATAAATCAATAAACTTGTCTACAACATGCCAAGGCCAAGTTGCCTTTACATGAGATTCTATTTCATTCGTATCAACCGTCTCTAGTAATGCATAAAAAGACAAAGAAAATATAAATAGATAAACATCACTTTAAGAACTAAAAGAAAGACAACAAATCAATTCATGCAATCCATATTCATATAATAATCTTGCATGTTTGCAATCCATAGGATCTGACATGGTAATATCCCATAATAATCTTATATTGAATTGAATCTTATTGCTTGGAACTCTAAAGATCTTATCTTGTACTTAATTTATATTGTCAAATGAGTAAATTATCCCAACCATCATTGTTAGAGGTGTAAGAAAGAATCAACCAGCTTATTCAGAATATATTTTAATATCATCGTTAACATGGCGAAATTAATTCTCAAAGCAACATAATGAACTCAAATTTAGAGATTCAACAAGCAAAATCATGTTTCGATATCATCAATTAACAACGATTATAATTATAATTAATAAAAGAAATATGCCAATTCTAATTTGACAAAACAAAAGATGAAAATTTAGGAAAAAAATATTATAATTAAATATTACAATGACAAAAAAAATTTCAATTTAAATAAATCAATAGAAAAAAATTTTATTTTTGATACTCACACTTGGAAGAAGATTCGACATTGGTGCTCCTCACAAAGAGAAAAGAAACCAATTGTTCTTAATATGGAAAAAATAGAGGTAAAAGATACTATTTAAAGGAAATATGGTGAAGGCAATTCTTAATAGGTTTAGGTTTCCCGCGAGAGAGGAATGAAAGTTTGTAATTTTGTAACTGTTTTATAAAAGTTTTAGTTAGTAATTTTGTAATTGTATTAATTATTAGGTTTTATCCATAAAAACTATAGCCAAAAAGCTCCAAAATAAAACTTTTAACTTTATATATAAAATTGTTGCGGATCTGCTGTGGTTTTCTATAATTTTTTTCAAAAGCAATCCAAAAAAAAATTTATCAAACACATATATATATCTAAAAGTACTGTGTAACTACACAAAAAAACCTCAACCACAATCCCAAACGCACCTTAAGAATTTTGTGAAAATTTTATGACCATATGTTATATTTCTTTGAAATCAAATATTGATTAAGAAGATGAGAAAACAAACTATTTATCAATTAGGTCAATTTTTCAAGATATATTATAAAATTAAT